CCCTAGAATCTACCAAGATCCGTCCAGCTTGTGATCTAATGTGCTCCTCCTCCAACACCTCACACCTGTACCTTCCCCTGCACAGACCCAGGCAAGGTCTCATTCCCACCTGTGGCTATACAAGGCCAGCAACAGTCTGGCTCTGAAGTCATGAACATGATGTCCACAGCACAGGTAGACTTCAACCTAGAGCACAGTAGAACTACCTCGGTAAACCACCCATGACGCTTTCATCACTTTTACTTAGACGCTTGCTCAGGGTATATCTAGCGACACRTGAATCTAGCCAGAGCTTTCCCAGTCCTGTGTCTATTAGTCTCTCCAAGGCACACACTGCCCAAGTAAAGTGGCTTTGCCCAATTTGCAGCACTTGTTACATGATGATCTACCATTACACAAGAACTCTGGAGAGATTCTATTTTATGCTGCTTTGCTGAATTACCATTTCCCTCATGCAGAGCATGTGAAGTCTTTAGACTTATGACATCCTCTTATCCTCACCATCATTACCCCCTCCAGACACATCAATCATCTCACAATTTTACAAAATAATTCAGCACCAGGAAGCTGTTGTTGATGGTTGACAGGGAACAAAACCAGCTTTTACCTTGGATAATACGGCAGCTTCTGCATCTCTTTTCTACCTATTTCCCCCACATGGAGCACTATGCCTATTACCTCTCCTGGTGTCTTGTGTAATTATAGATCATCACGTCTACAAGTGTTGTGAATCAGACAATGGGTACTTTGTCTGGCTTTGTTGGGCAGTGTGTGCCCTAGAAAAGGTTAGCAGGGGCAGGCCTGGTCACATTCATTTATGGAACAAACTTCTCAGAAAATCTTCTGTGAATCATACACCGCCTTGCAGCATGGGGAACGTTGCTTATACACGACAGCTTCCTCAGGACATGATGGGAACACCTGTGTAGATCCATTTAGCCCTTGTGGTTCAGAGAAGTCACCAATGTTGTCTTCTGTGAATCAAATTATAGCAGTGAGCTGCTTCCAATGACTCCATGGTTTCTAGTACTGGACCTGTCCATCCTGCAACTTTGGGGGAAGTTTCTCCACGTGTAAGAACAGAACACCAGCTTGAGCCCTTTATACACACATACCTTTCTCAACCTTCTTAAACATAGGCCAACTTGATACTGACATGCCTTGCCAGGTCCTCATGGGTATAGAAAGCAAAGAACTTCATACTGCTGTGATGAGGTTACTGGATGCACGCAGAGGAGCATGAAGAGTACCTGACACTCCCTTTGAGCAGGTAGAACTGGAAAACCTTTGGAATGTGAGTTAGCAGAGATGACCTTGAAAGTCCAGGCTGGCAGCAGGCAACTGAAATCTGGAAGCACCTGAGGCTCTGAGAGGAAAACAGGAGGCTAGCACTAGGCAGTTCATGCTAGAGACTGGCTGGACAAGTTCCTCCCCTTTGCCACTGGTGCTAAAGGGGACATGGTCATTGCACAGGGCAGCTGAGAAAAGCGAGAAGTGCTCTGGTCAGTGAAACGAGTTGGGGGATGAAGGCCAGAAAGGAGGGACCAGGGCTAAATGTGAGAGGAGCATACAGACAAAGGCCAGTGGTGGCCTTCATGCCCCTTTCCTGCATTCTCTGGTGAACAGCAAAGATAGGCACTTGGTCGGGCCCTGACCAGTATCTTCCCACTTGGGGAAGGTGTATGGAAGGTGGTCTCCAGGAGCCCTTGATAGCAGAGCCTGGGAATCTTATAATGCCCTTTGCCTTTATTCCCCAGGGCACAGGACAGACTTGAGGCTCATAGCTCCTGCTTCCTGACTTCTGCAGGAAGAAAGGAGGTCCTTAGCTGGTCCTACTGGGTTCTCAACCCTGTTTACTATTAAAATTTCCTGGACTGCTTTCATAAAATTAGACACTTAGGCTTCATTGCAATTAATCCATAGCTAGATTTAAAAAGTAAATGTACAAAAACCTCTCCAAGGGTGAGAACGTCTCTAATGAACTGATCAAACCCAAGAATTCCCAGAGGACCAGATATGGTTCCTCTCACTGGTGTGTTGCAGAATCCTGCTCTACCTGCCCATTCAAGTGAGGCACCTCTTGAGGTATAGACCCAAGGACCAGATCCTCTGTTGAGCTTACCAAGTCTGGAGTTTAGTGTTTTTCAAGAGACGTCTGTGGAAGCAAGAGCTGGTCTAGTTGATGCTTTCAAAAGACAGGCACTGCAAGGAATGTGATAGGCACAGCTTCTGGGACTGCTTCCTGGGGACATGCCTGCCCAGGGCCTGGCTGGGAAGGGAAAGGGCTAGTGTACAAACAAGGAGATAACCGTGATTATTAAAAGCAGTGTGGATTCAAGCTTCCTCCTACCTCTGTCTTTGTGATTCCATCCTTAGGAACTGCTAACGTGATGTCTATTTGGCTGAGTAGGGAACTAGCTCAGACTAGCAAAAAGGTCAGTCTAATTCTTACGTTCCCTTCAGTATTATCAGTAATCACTAATTTACATTTTTGAACTGAGGGAAAGAAAATATTTTGTTATGTGATTCAGGAATACATTTTATAGAGATTACATTGGAAACGGAAGTTCTTTTCTCCAAAACTTCGTGTCTAATTTTATGAAAGCAGCCCAGAAAATTTTAATAGTAAACAGGGTTGAGAACCCAGTAGGACCAGCTAAGGACCTCCCATACACTAAYAAGGCACAAAGACAGATCTTTGGAAATGGATACCAGTACTATAACACTTTCCCAACATGCCAAAACCACTTTAGTCTATGTGTGCCACTCTGAGTTACTAGTAAGAATGTGTAAACTATTCAGATTTCAGATCTTAGCTAATTTGTGAATGATTTAGGATCCATATGAACTTTCTACTATAAGAGTCAGAAAACTGTTATTTTTTTTAAAAAAAGCTATAGATAGTAAATATTTTAAGATCATGGCCCATGTAGCTTTTGTCACAACCTCTTAGCTGTGCCATGCAGCATGAAAGTTGCCATTGGCAATCTATAAAGGTGACTTCATGGGTGAGACTATATTCCAATAGGATTTTATTTACAGAGTCAAGCCAGATATGGTAGTTTGCTAGTCCCCGTTTTAGCAGCACATAGCTTCCACAGGTTGAACTGAGTGACATTTAACAAATGACAAACAAGGAAGAAAGAATGACAGAGTAAAAGACTGATAAGGATTTAATGACAAATATTCCATATTGATTGATGAACATTAGAATACTGTCCAAGGAACCATCATTAAATAAAATGACCTGAAAACAAGGCAATTCTCACATACACAAGCACACTCACATAAAACCTGTTACTCTTAAGATTATTAAATTACTATTTTAACAAACAGATGTAAAATAACATTACAGTGAAGAAAAATGTGCACAAACTTCAGAAACACGTTCAGATTGTCTATGAACACAGATTCTTAATTTGTACTTTTTTCACATAGGTACAGCCTCTTGATTGTACAGAGACCACACGGCTCAAAGGGTTAACATCTCATTTTCTTCTTCCAACTTAGAACTCAAGATTTAATCAAAACCATTTCACGTCTAAACTGCTCCAGGTTTTGCTTAGTGAAGGGCAGCAGAGGAAGCCTGCTCTGGACCAAACTCACCAGGGAACAAATACTAATAATTCATTTGCCTCCATCGTCATCAACAAGTTGGAGTAAGGAATCTTTAACACCATCAAGGATKAACTACAATTAATAGGGTTTACCAAAAAAAAAAAAAAAATACTACTATTCTAAAACTAAAGACAAGAAACAACCTCCTAAATGTATTTAACCTCACTTAATGCAGGTATTTTCCCTGAAGAAGTGTAAGAAAAAGGGACTCACATATTAAATACACCCTGGGAGTGGGATTTTGATGGTTATACAGCTTTCTTCTGCTAAAGGCTTTGCTCATAGAAAAGACACTGACATGATGGCTGATTCTCTTATCCATGGTAATAGAAAGAACAGAGGCAAATGAAGTTCAAGGATTTCTACTGCCTTTATTTCACATAAACTTCAATCTTCACCTTCCATTGAACCCTCTTCTCAAAGCTGCTGATATGTGATATATTTGATGCTGATGAGACTGTGCATAATGATGGCAGCAAAAGACCAAACAACCAATAAAGTAGATAATCAATCCATGAGTAATCAAAAGTTGGAAGAGATTTCACAGGCACAGACTTGAAAGAACTTAAAACAGATGGAAGAGGTAGATGTGCATGGGGAAAAAAAATAAAGGAATAAGATTACCTATAAAGTGGCTACATTATTTTTAGGTGATCTTATACACTTGGTATTCAATTTAGACTACAAGAGTCATTATAAATAATGGAAATGTAGTTTGCTGGTATAACTCTTGATTAAAAGAAAATTGAAAAGAATTAGTGTATTTTGAAATTATCCCTAGTATGAACATCTATTTGTATTTATGAATAGCAGTAAACTAATTCAGAGGGCAAGATCAACAGGCAACACACAAACCCAGAATTTGCAGAATTTTTTTTCAGTGTTCTTATAATGACAAAAAACATGCTTTTCCACAGTCCCCAAAGTTCTTTGCTAGAATACAACAGATCAAGTATAAATTACTAGCATTCACAGAAACTTTGCTAAATCTGTAAAAACCATCTTGTAGCTTTTTTTTCCCCCCTTCAACTGTGTCCAACAGTTTATGAAGATGCTTCTATGAATAGTACAGGGTAACAAATGTTAGTGAAGAAAACAATACTGTTTCCCACAATTCTAACTTCTAAAGGCTAACCTAGGGAAGGGACTTTCAGCATATGGAACTGAAATCTATACAAAAGTCCTCTAACTACAGCCCTCTACTAGAAATGCAACATAACTAGGTCACTCTAATTAGGTGACAAAGACCAGCTTTGTCAATAAGGACATCTTTGGCCCTTCTAGGCTAGCTTTGAGTTTTTAATCAAAGGTAAAAATGTTCAGTGTCCTTATTTATATATATATATATATATATATATAAATCATAACAGGTATGTCTTCCTAGCAGCTGAGCTGGAGAACACAAAAGGTGAGGCCATACCTCTTCACACTGTCCTCAGCCTTTGTTCAGGTCAGCCTGCCATATTCCTGCCCCCAGGCTTTCCCTAAGACAGAGGTCATAATACTGATTTAGCTCACAAAGATGTGAGAAACAACTAACAATCATTAAAAAGCATAAAGCACTTTGCAAATACATAAGTGCTATTTTGGCATCTATATAACAACTAGAAAACATTCATTGCTTGTGCTATTTGGCAATTTTGCATTTACACCTCTCCCTGACTTTGCCCTCTTTGTGTAAAGCCTTGAGATTTCCACTGTGCCTCCACGTGAAGGAAAAAAGAAATTCTTGCTTGAACTAGATCCCTCATCAATATGAATGGAGTTGGGGGTGAGCGGGGTACAGGGCACACATGCAAATTGAAGGCAAAAAGACAAAGGAGCCTTGCATTCCAACTTGTGAACTTTGCTTTCCTGGATTTTTCACATACTGCCAGAAAAACCTCCTAAGCTAACTGACTTCTGTAGCAGATCATTATTAGGATAGCAGCTTACCATCTGGGGTTCACTTGAAACACAGACATCAAGCTGACCTGGAAAGGGGAAGGTCACACATAGCTGAGATTGTTCCATTTTCCGGATCACAAGTGACACCTTAAAGAAATACTGGGCCTGGCACATACCTGACACAGGGCAAGGGGCAGGTCACCCACGTAGATGATTTTGACCTAGCACAAAGTTAGAGGGTGTTCAAGGCAGTACCAAGGAATCAGAAGCAAGAGCTGGATTTTTCAAGAGATCTAAGAACCAGTTACAAATGTATTTCTACACCCTAGAAGTCGCCCCTTGAAATGAGGATGTGTAGTTTTCTTCCCAGTTTCCCTTGGATGCCTCAAAATAGCAGCTAACTGTGGCTCAGAGAAAGGAAGAGTATACTAAATATCCTCTCCTTCAGGATGGACAAGAGTCTCCTCGATTATAGCTGATTTGGGAGCTCAGGGCAAACACTGGCTTACCACCTGGTTGGACCAGTTCAGAATCATTTATACCCGCATTATACTTTATTCTCACTCCAACCATACTTCCTCCCCTGATTCCCCCAGGTCATTGTAGCCCAATCTACTCTACTGCCTGCCATCCTGTTTCCCACCCCCACTCTCCAAACCCCCTTCCTCAAGGTCCTCAAATCACCTATTCCTCCAAGCCCCTTCACTCCCTACAGGGTATATTTGAGGAAGTCATTACTCAAACACATCTCCCAAAAGTTTCTTGGAGCGGAAGTAGGCAAAAATATAGCACCCCAAAATAACAACTCTTACTGGGGACTCCTTAACACTCAAAGGCTCCTCAGTCACTCTCAGCTTGCCCCTCCCGCCCCTTCCCCACTTCTTTCAATAGGGTTTGTCCCCAGGACACCTATTCCCTACATGCTTCACAGAGGGCGACCTCCCTCCGACCTAACCCTAGCACAGGTGCAGCTTCTGGTGCTGTGCAAGGTGCGTTTTGTAGCGGAAGCCTTTGCCACAGCCTGCGCACTTATGCGGCTTGTTGCCGGTATGGATGCGGCGATGGCGGATCAGGTGCGAACTCTGGATGAAGCTCTTGCCGCACTCAATGCACGTGTAGGGTTTCTCGCCGGTGTGCGTGCGCTGGTGCTGCGTGAGCGTGGAAAAATCGCTAAAGCGCTTCTCGCACTGGCCGCAGCGGAAGGGCTTCTCGCCTGTGTGCACGCGCAGGTGGTTCACCAGGTGCGAGTTGCGCCCAAAGCCCTTGCCACACTCGCGGCACACATAAGGCCGCTCACCCGAGTGCGTGCGCTTGTGCGTGAAGAGGTGTGAGCTGACGCTGAAGGTCTCACCACACTCTGAACACATGTAGGGCTTCTCTCCTGTGTGCACGCGCTGGTGCTTCACCAGGTCCGAGCGCCAGCTGAAGCGCTTGCCGCACTCGCTGCAACCATGAGGCTTCTCGCCCGTGTGGATGCGCTGATGGTTGGCCAGATGTGAACGGCGCACGAAGCCCTTGCCACACTCCCCACAGGCAAAGGGCCGCAGCGCTGCAGCACCTGCACCGCTGGCGGCCGCGTGCGCACGCCTGTGGCTCAGCAGGTGCGAGCTGAGGCTGAAAGCCTCACCGCACTCTGGGCACGGATAGGGCTTCTCACCGGTGTGCAGGCGCCGGTGTTTGAGCAGGTCCGCGCGCCAGCTGAAGCTCTTCCCGCAATCGGCACACAGGTTGGGCCGCTCGCCAGTGTGCAGGCGCAGGTGGTTTGTCAGGTAGGTGTTGCGGCTGAAGCCCTTGCCACACTCCCCGCAACGGAAGGGCTTTTCGCGCGGGGGCCGGGCCAGTGTGGGCCCAGCTCCAAAGCCCCCTGCCACGCCCATCCCCATCATCCCCACCACAGCTCCGCACTCGCCCGCCAGGCCGAAAGGCTCCAGGCTGGCTACCGCGGCGGCCTCTGCCAGGCGGTGAATACGCTGGTGCTGTAGGAAAGCGGCACCTGGGCTGAAGCTCTCCCCGCAGTCGGGGCAGATGGTGGGCGCATCCATGATGCTAGCCACCAGGCTGTCTAGCTCCCCGAGATCCATGGCCATGGGGTGGTGGAGGCGGTGGAAGCGGCGGTGAGCAGGTTTGTCACCTCGGTGGCGACTTCCCAGGGACAGGTGGCGCCTCCAGGGAAGTATGGGAGGTGGCGGCTGCTCTTCTTCCTCTTCCAACCTATTCTCTCCAGTACTTTCCTCCTCCTCCTCTTCCTGGGGACTCCGGGATATGCTGTCTGATTCAGACAGACCTGGGAACATCCCCATGTCAACCACACCAGGCTGATCATCTTCCTCATGGAGAGCAACAGCTTCCTCCTCACTCAGCAATCCCTCTGCAACATTGAAAAGAAAGCAGAGGGGCTTACTGACCTAGCGCTCAACAAGATAAGACTAGAGGAAAGGAGCTTGGACATAAGGGTGTGTGGGCCAAGGTGTAATGCACCTCCCCCAAACGCTCCCAGTCTCCACCCAGCCCCTTACATTCCAGCCCCGCTCCCACTAGGTTCCTCCCAGAAAAGGCCTAAGGAGTGTACACTCTCTGCAGACTTTGCTACTTTGTTTTCCAGTTCTTCCGCAGGCCCCACCCAGCGGAGCTTTCTGAATGCAGGAAATGGCAGAGTCTGTGCCAGGTGGGACTCCTTGGGATCTCGATCTCCAGAGAAAAGGTTTTTCACTGCTTGAGAGCTACCAGTGCCTTGTAAGGCTATTTCCTCAAAAGAAAAGATCGGCGTAGCTAACCACACACACACACACACACACACACACACACAAAAAAAAAAAAAAAAAAAAAAACCCACTTGTCCTAACCAAGCCCTAGACCGACTTTCAAACGCAGTCTGAAAAAGAGGTGGCACGGGAAAGGGGCAGGAGGCTAAAATGAAGCAAATAAATTCCATGCATATATGATTATGAACCCAGCTTTTAAAAACTGCAGCCTGGCACAGCTTCAGGTGAAACAACAAACTAAACTCACTTTCTGGTCTTGTCTATGGATGGGGGAGGAGAGTGATGACAGAAGGAAAGAGGCTAGAGCTATTGAGCCCAGGCTGGAGGCTGCTTCAAGGATACACACCTGTTAGTGTTTAGCTACTTTATCCCCAAGCAGAGGGCACTCCAGGAAGTTACTCAGTTATGGAAGGCCACAAGCTGTGTGCACTGTGGGGGAGGGCAGCAGGGAGTCTGGGACTTTGTCAGGCGGTAAGGAATGTAACCTTACAGTCCTAGCATAGAGTATTTCAGCTCCTTTCTGACCCTGGGGCATGTACTCAGCTGGATAAAGTAACAAATGCCCAAAGACAGAAACCAGGAAGGTCCAGCTCTCAGGTCAGGAATGGCAAGGGATTTTGTAGAAGAATTGGGCACTCTGAAATTAGTCACATGAACCTAAACAGGTCATTTAACACTGTTTACAGAGGAGGTATACCTGCATCTGGATACTTTGCTCAACACTGTACTTAGTAACTCTTTAAATTCAGCAACTCATTTCCAGCGACCCTTCCAGTGTCACCTGAGTAATTGTAGTGCTGTTACAACTGGGAATTAACAGTGGTGATCTCTACTGTAAAGTGCTGTACCCATGAGTGAGCCTCTTCACCAATGCCTACCAGCACAGCCCACCTCAGACTGGACTGAAGAAAATAATGTGCCCAAGGACCAGTACTAGAAAGGCTAGGTTAGTACAGAATCCTGCTTAATGGTCTCTAGAAAGCTCCCCCAAAGATAATGCTGCCCCTGTTGGTAATTCTAGAAAGCAAGATGTGAATGTGAGTGGGGGAAATTCCCACCTCCTCACCTGTGCAGATGTTGGACACGACTTCCCTTCCCCTGAAGTCCTCACTGAGAGCTTCCTCCTGGGGGCTGGAGCCCATCTCCAGCTCCAGGTGGCCTCTTTCTTCTGCATCCTGTGAATTCAAGCCCATTCCTCTTTCTTCTGGGTCCCCTTCCCTGTCCTCCGTGTTCTCAAAATCGGAGCCCATCGCTCCGTCTTCTGAGTCCTGGTGTTCACACATACCCTGGTTATCTTCTTGCTCCATCTAGGAAGAAAAGAACAACAGTGGTGACCAAGGATCCCTCCTCCAGACAAAACTCACAGAAAAGTCACTTCAGCGTCCACTTTGCTCACCATGTCTGGCCTTGATCTCCCCCCATCCAGTAAAATTTTCCAGACTTCCAAGTCCCAGATGGCAAATCTCTATTCCCCACCCTGTGTAAATTTAAGGTAAACAACTGGGTACAGAGGAGGACACCTGGATAGTGGATGAATTGTAGCAACCTCATTGGTCCCAGACTTGGTCTGCTTCTGTCTATGAAGTACATTTTTATTAGTGTGGCCTTATAGTTTAATCATGAGGTAGATATCCCCATTTTTATAGCTGAAAAAAAAATGTAAAGTTCAAAAAGAAGACCTGTTAGCCTAAGGCTCCATAACTCATAAGAAATAGAGGGAAGATTAGACCAATTTTTCTAGCTCAAAATTATATGCTTTCCTTACTCTTATTAAGCTTGTCTTCCACAAGCCCATAACAATCTTATGAGTATTTTTGCTAATTATGAGAGGGCCTTTATGGAGCCAAAAAAAAAAAAAGTACAGTCAGGACACAAGGATAACTAACATCAGTATGGTAACGTCCTACATAATACCATGACTTCAGTGGCACCCCCAACCCTGGCTTTGTGGCACTGATCTGCTGCATTGCTGGGAGCTATAAGCCAAGATGATTCAAGGATGTTAGCAGGTCTGTAGGGGGCAGAAGGCAGAGACACAAGGGCTTCCTTGATTAGAAACATTTCTGTGCTCCTAATTACATATTTTGCAATATCTGAATCGAAAGTAAGCTTTAACAGGAACATGCATGAGGGACAACTGATAACCTTTCTACAGAAGAGGCCAACATGTGAACTACAGGGAAAAAATAACATCAGATTCCTAAGCCTTTTGTAGATGTCAGGTTTACATCTCAAATACAAAGGGCCCCCTGCCAAGACTGAGCATTTGGGCCCAAAATAATTTATTTCTGCCATCCATCACTCCTACAGCTTGGCTCAAGGAAGCAAAAACGGTTTCTAGGTGGAGGAAGTTGGACTATGACTTTGCGAGAGACTACCACCTCAGCAGTCCCCAAACAGGAATGCAAGAATATGGCTGATGAGTCCAGTCCCCAGTACCACCAAAAAAGAAAAAGAAATAATAATAATAATGAAGGTTGAGCAAGATGCTTCTTCCTTGGCTGGGAACTTTTCCTGCCTCTGTTGAAGTCTTCCCTGAGGCAGCCCTGGCTCTGCAGACCCTTTGGAGTGGAAAGCCAGAGTTACAGGCAGAGGAAATTCCTCTGGCTGGGTCAGCCTCAGTGTAGAGACCACAAGGCACTGTCAATTAACCTCTCATTGTTTTGGAGTCCTCATCAGTGCAAAGAGGGTAATGTTACTTAACCTTGCTCACAGGGAGAGTGTCAAGAGGAAACTAATTAAAGATCACTTTGGAAAACACTACCAAGAATAATTGATGCTTTGTGAGTTTTCCAAATGTGAGATACACATTATTCTCTTTTTAAGTCCTAATGCTGGTCTAGCATACCTCAAAGACACACTGGCTCCTCTACAATTCTGCATACACATTAGCCTGACAATGTATTAGATTCTTTTCTCAGCAGTGAAAAAATATAGTCCCTAGATTAGAATGAAAACAAAAACAATCAGGTTCTTCCCTTAAATGTTTTGGATGCCTGAGCATGATCTGTCAGTAGCATCCTACAGTGCAGCTGAGTTCCTTTAGAAAGTACATCATTTAAAATACCAGGTTCCCAATGTTGGCTCCTGATTCTTCTGTGTGGTTCAGTGTCCAGCATGGCCTAGATTTAACTGCAGCTCTCTACCCAGAAAGGTGGGACCAACCTGGCAAGCAAGGAGGAGGGCTTCTCCTCTGACGCATTTTAAGGACAGCTTCTTAGCACCTCAGAAATGGCAAGAAGACAATCGGGTTTGTGATTTCTTGCAAATCAAGAGAGCAGTCATACCAGAGAAGTTAAATTCAGAAACATGTTTTTTTCAGATTTAAGGGGGATGACATGCATGCGAGAGCCAGAGTCCGAGTGGCCCGCTCAGGACTGGCATACGAATTCACAGTGCTGCCACGCTCAGAATCAAGGCAGGTTCTGAGCTCCCCTCCCAAAAAATAAAAAGGTATGCTCTAAAGAGTGTCGAAGCTCCTATCACCCAGAGGCAACATTCATGGCACAACTACTCCAATCTTCTCAGTGCAAAACTAGGAATCTCTACACCCAACAAATGTATTCAGTTCCATTTATGCCATCACACGCTGGGGTTTAAGCAACCATCAAGTCATGGAGAAGGCCATGTGGGGGTAAGGAAGGGGCAGAGAACCTGATGAAAGTAGTTGGTTTAAAAAATTACCTCTTTGTTTATTAATAGATGTATGCTAGCATATATATTTGCACATGAATACACAGGCTCAGAGAGGGTGACTAGAAGAATATTTGTTAAAATGTTAAAAATCTCTTGTTTACCTTTGGGGGATTTTGCAGCTATTAACTCATTTAAACTTAACAAAAATCCAACGAGGTTTGGCTATTTCCAACGTCACAGACCAGAAACAGACACAAAAATGATGAGGCCAACATCATACGCAGACCTACAGAGAGGGCCCATACCCTGGAAATCCAGAGCCAGTGCCCACATTCTTAAGCAGCTTCTGTAAGTTTGAAAAGTCATGTCATCTTGTGTGCATCTGTATTTTCTACAGTAAACATGTGGTTTTTAACTGGGAAAAAGGCCAATGTTGTTGATAACCTAAATTATATTAAAGAAAAAGCCCTATGATTTTTTTCTAGAAAGAACAAAAAAGGAAGACGAGGAGTTGTGATTTCCTCATTCTAGAAGAGCTGCTATTCAGAAATGTTATCTCAGTGGTGTGACTGAAGTGTCAGTCAGCAGATATTCAAGCACACTTTGTTCCAACTCCTTCCCCACTCATTCTCAAAATAAAAACTAGCAATATGTTTTCTTGGGCAAGGCCACGGTTGGATAATGAGTGGGTAGCGGGACAGTTTGGTGGTTTTGTGACCGGATTAACCTGGGTTCACATTCTCTGCTCTTTGCCAGCTATTTGACCTTGTGCAAGCTGCACGACTTTGCTGAATCTCAGATGCTATAGCCTTAAAAACAAGGATGCCCCCACCTACTTTGTATGGGTGTTTGAGAACCATATAAGATTGGTGTTTTATAAAAGCCACTGGCACCTTAGAGACACAATCAATAGTAGTTTGACTACTGTAGTAAACTTTAGCCTATTTCTTGATTTTAAAAATTACACAGGTTCACAGCTGCTTTCACTGAGAATGGCCTTCGATGAGTACAAGCAGAGCTTCCCTCATTCCTGCTGCTGAAGGCTTAATGAACAACCCACCAAATGAACAAAGGAGCCCGGGGTGGGAGGGCTGGCTAGCAGCACAGGGGAGCTAAGGAGAGCAGGAAAGTTTATAGCTGATGAGGCATATATGGGTCTAAAGCTGAATGAGGAACAGGCAGGTGCTTCAAGAAGCCAACACCATCTGCAAGGGAGCTAGCCACCCCCTAGTCAGAAGGAATAGAAGACTAGAACAACAGGGAAGTGGGAATAGCCAGGCAGACAAAATTAATTCCACATTTTATTCTAATCACTGATAGAAACAAAAAAGCTGTGGGAGAGAGCCCTGTTTGGGAGCAGCACAACCACTGTGCTGTGTGACTGTGGGTAAGTATTTGCCCCCTCTGGACTTCTACTCAATGAGGCATTTGGGTTTGGGTTTGAATGTGTCGGAGTCCTCTTGAGGTCGTGTGTCACATACTCGGGTGAGTTCATCTGGAGAGGCACTGTGGTCAGGCTCAGGAGACAGCTTCTCCCCAGCGTGGCAACTCACACCCCCCTAAAGATCCCCTTCACCTTTACACAGCCTTTGACTGCTGGTCACATCAGTCAGGGTGGCACTGGGCAACCTCCCCAAGACTGTTCCAATCCCAGTTTCTAGAGCTTAACAACATTTTTGTGTCTCTTCCTCTACCCCAAAGTCTCGAGTCAATAAAGAACACTCATCACCCTATGAGAATGCTCAAGTGCCTTCCAACCGTACTCAACCCTACTGAAAATACTAGTCAGCTCACCTGAAGACTTTGCTGCTGAGTGGAGGGAAATGTGATAAAGTGTCTTTGAAAAAGAAAAAAAAAAAGAGAGAGAGAGAGAGAGAGAGAGCGTGGGAGGGAAGTGGAAGAGGGGAAGTAAAGCCAGTGTAGAGCCAGAATTAGAATTTAACTGAGTTTATTATTTTCCCAATGGCTACCTGCAAAATCTCGGATTTGAACAGAAGCCCCACTATGAGTTTAACTGACCTTCCTGTGAAGGGGATGGGGTAGACAAGCACACACGTCTCTCACACCTTCCTGGATTTTACAGAGAGAAACCAAGACTAGGAATAACAGCCAGTGTCTCAGCCTCTCAGAGATAAATCACTGGTTACGCTCTCTCATCTTGGGAGCATTTGGGGTTTTTGTTTTCTTCTCGGGCCCCACACTGCTCTGCCACTTCCCTGCCAGGAGGTCACCTACTGCAATCAGGCTGGGAGCCAGTGTTCTATTGGAATAGATCTATGTGTCTATACTACAATTGAACAGGTCCCTCTCCACTGGCTGGTAACTGCAGGTACTTGGGGTGACCATTTTCTGTTTGAAGAACACTGAACAGGTGGCGTATCTCCTAGCCACAGTCAGGACTCCAACTGTCTTTTGGCATTTCCTCCTCCTCCTCCTCCTCCCCCTCCCCTCCCCCCCCTCCTCCTCCTCCTCCTCCTCCTCCTCCTCCTCCTCCTCCGCATGGGAGCAGCTAGTGAGAGCCTTGGACTAGGGAAGCAAAAGGGACGGCAGTTGTGCCACCACACCTGGCAGCACCAGGCAGGGGTGGCCCAGTGGGGAAGGAGCCGGCCAGTGTGAGAACAGACCTCCTTGCCCATCCCTGAGGACCCTCGCAGCCCGGCTGGCCTGGTGG